ACACTATTATTGTTGCACGTTATTTGAAAGGCAGTTCAGATCTTCAGCCTATGACCAAATCACCCAGAATGCCCCCAATGTTGTCAAGACCTCAGAAGCTAAAGAAGGTTATGCATTGACAGTGCTTGGATGGGTGACCGCCATGCTAGCGAGGTTGTTATCGGTGCCTGCTGGGACGATGTGGTCATCAGCAATGAGTGCAGCAAAATCCATAGTTGTCCTGTAATTCTATGCTCCTTCCTGCCTTCGCCAACTTATGCTGAGAGGCATGAAGTATGGTCAAATATCCCCCTTACACGACCTGCACAGTGAGAGGCTTTTATCATCCAGCAGTGGTTTGACAAGAGGGATGTTTAGTACATGTACTATAAACACTGCGATATCGTGATGAACTGGACATGTTTGTGTTTAGTGTGCTGTCATCCGATAGTGTAGCGGTTAGCGCGCTGCGCTATGAACCCGGCGACACGGGTTCGATTCCCGCTCACTGCCAACATCAGTGACAATTATCTGAACCGGTCCCGGGCCTCCTCTAGGTCGACTCAGCCTCAAATGAGTACCTGGTGCGGTGTGTAAACATTGCCACTAGGGAGACAAAGGCGGTCGGGCGTGGTGCTGGCCACCCACCCCCTCGTGTACCGTTCCGGCCTTCATAGGTGCTCGCTAACTGCACTTGCCCCTACAGTCTGTTAAGGCTATATAGGGGATCTTTGTCTTTGTCTTGGGATCCCCCCCACACCTCCGATTATCACGGTTGCCCACGTACGTTGCGAAAGGAGTTCGACATACACACATCATGGAGCAATCGGCACACACTTTTGGGAAGATCGTTTTATTACAGCAGTGTTTTACGTACAGTAAATGGTTTATAATGTGTTGAGCCAGGGGGTTTGTTCCGTCACTCATTACATTCGGCAACTACGGCATATCAACGCGACGTCCCTCTGAAACGACGGCCTCGTTTAGGGTGAGCTATGTGGATGTAGACGCAGACAGAGGAGCCATAACGACTGGCTGCCGTGAAAAGTATTTTACAACAGAGATTTTTTAACACGACACATCCTGCAGGTCGACATCACGTGCAGCGGCTTTGCAGCTTGGACAGCACTTGCCGAGTGAAAACCACTGCACCATTAGTAACACTTTTGCTTTAAGCTAGACAAGACAGCGGTGGCGTTACGTGTTGTTGGCAACGGCCCTGGAGCAGAGGTCGCAAACGGGTTTTGATTCCTTACCCGTACCCGGCCGCACCAGGGTCGCAAACGGGTACCCGTACCCGGCCGTACCCGTACCCTACCCGTACCCGGCCGGGTACGGGTAGGGTACGGGTATCGGGTACCTGATTGCGACCTCTGGGATGAAGCCATGTTGCAGGCGCGGGTGGGTTGATTCTAGGAACTTGAATTGTGAGAAGAGACAAGACGTTGGGAAATGAGTGACAAACAGTTACTCACCAGTGACTCACGGCCTACCCGTACCCGTACCCGGCCGCACCAGGGTCGCAAATGGGTACCCGTACCCAGCCAGGTACGGGTAGCCGGGTATCGGGTAGGGTATGGGTATCGGGTACCCGGTTGCGACCTATGCTCTGGGGGCCTCATGTCAAATTCCTTTCCCTCTTCGAAACCCAGTGCCTGGGCCATCCTCCTGCCCTTGTCAGTGGCGTAGCTAGGATATTCTGCGCCCGGGGACGAACTATAAAATTGGCGCCCCCCCCCGTTTAATCACATACCAAAATGTAATTACATGACATATAGGCTGTGTGTGGCGGGATATATAAACTTTTAGGTTGAGGTGTAGATTTGTGCAGTAGTTCCAGGCTGCCGCGCCCGCCGCAATAAGTTATAATGTAACGTTGTAAGCCTCATTTTGGCGCTCCTTTACCTTGGCGCCCGGGGACACATGTACCCCCCTGCCCCCCCCCAGCTACGCCTCTGGCCCTTGTGCAGCTGCAACTGCCCGCACTCCACCTCGTAGCTCCTCCACTGCGAGGCAGGTGGTTGCTTGTCGGTCACGTTTCCACTCGACAGCGAACAATACGCTGATGTGACTGTGATTAACAAAAAAACATTTAAATTGGTAATTTCAAAAGGTACGCGAGGTGACCCTACTGCTGTACTGCACACGTTTCTCTTGAGGTGTACGTAGTTTTATTGAAGCCTAGTCGGTTGATATGAATGGGCTCTAGCAGGGCCCAGATGCAAACACAGACACAAAGTGAAAATTGCGACGACACTAGGTGAAATGCAGTCAATCTCAGCCAAGCCTTTTTCTCTGTTTGCACGTTAAATCCAAAACGTCCATGGCTGCAAGGTGTGAACTGTGGTTCAAGCCTCAGTGGAACACGTTATTAGATGTGTAAAACAGTGTATCTCACGGGGGGGGGGGGGGAGATGCCCAGGAAATGAACGCTATATTTTCCAGTTGGGCTATTGCACTGGGATTTCGCACTAGAATACTGTATACGCTACGGGTACAATAGATGTTTAAATTTGAATTTAAATTGTCTTCACCCTTCCCCGGGAATGGGTGTCTAGAAGCCACAGCTGTGGAATGTTTTCTCAACACAGCACTGTAATGTATTTGGATTAAAAACTGTTTTGCCATTGAAGAATGCGTGGATTGTAAGGATGGACAGAGATGCAATGCTTTCTGCACGTCTGTCGATAGGCATGTAATAACGCATCAATTCATAGGTTAAAATTGAGTCTTAACATTTACAATCGATTACCGTATTTATGATGTGTGCAATTTAAATCATAATGGGGCAGTTCGGCTCATGGAGTGCACATAATTAAAGTACATAAACAGAAAAAAATGGTGAAACCATACAAATGAGGCAGTAAGAGCAAGCCAAATACTATTTAGTTATTCTCGTGACAAGTCATGAAATTAAGGTGGGGGTGGACAGGGAGAAAATAATTATATGCCTATGTGCAGTCATGCACATCTCCATTGATGGTTTGAGCCAGTGGTGGAAGCTCCACATTCATATGCCACTGCACAGTACATTCAATGACAAGTGTATACTCAGACCAAATTCGTATACATCACAGTATTGTGCACATATGCATACACATGACTGTGCATGACGGTAATTTTAATATTCCTCTGGAAATATAAATTATGATACTGTGTTTTGGTGATATGCAAATTCTTATGTCCTCATGCGGTTTAGCTGTCTGTCTTCTGATGCTACCTTTTAAGTACATTTCTCACGAAATTGTATAGCACTGGTCCATGTGGCAAGCCATTGACAACGGCGGTGATTGGATTCTTTCCCTATGGAGCGATGAAGGGGCGTATATACAAACATTATTTTTTTAAATCTATTTAGATTTCAGCATATTTAGCTGAACGTTGCATGTGACGCTGGAAGTGGCAAACTTAACGTGAATTTCGGCCCAAGGTTCAGAGGTCGCCATAACATGGATTTGGATGATGAGATCGAGAGCCATAGACCACACACCATAGCAGTACCAGACACACGGCGACACCAGAGTACAGTACTTACACAGAAGGAAACACATTGTCAATGGATGATGACCCACATTTGGCAATGCGTAGCGAATTTCGTATCTATCACTTCTAACATACTGCTTTAAAAAAAGACACAATAAACCATCATTGCAAACTGATTGTCCTAATGCTAATTTCATACAGTACAAAACCCAAGTCTAACTGGGGACATGTCAGACACTTTATGCATTTTACATAATGCAAACGGATTATCTTGGGCTGTAACAATACATTTACTTAATTTTACCATTAACGTGTCATTTATGAATGGCGCAGCCAAATTTAGCATTGGGTGCATGTTCTGGTGTATAATTTCAGAACCAAACATGATCTCTTCATACGTGTCCACTTATAAAACCAATGCAGTCCGTTTTATAAGAAACAAAACCCGATAATTTTGACGCAATTCCTATACTTGCACGTTGGCTACGAATACTGTGGAGCCTTTAGGTGGAAACTTGTCCACATTGTAAGTTCCAGGTTAAGGCGAGTGTGTTCACAATGCGGCCTTCTTGCGCTTTGCCTTCTAGACGGTGATAGTTAACAACGATGAATCACAACACCACCGTCAAAAATTTGGAGCCTTGCTAACTGTGCTTTAATAAACAATTGGCACTTTAAATATATTGTTCGGAATTATTTTGACGAAGTACATTTCACATGTACCACTGCGTCGGTGTTAGCCGTTGTGCTGTGTGGCTCTCCGATGTGTTGTCGGGTTGTAACGTGTGCGAGTTCGGCATGATGTCCGACGTTTCGCACCACGTCCTGGAAACGTAATCAATTCAGTTCATGAAGAACTCTCAGCACTTGGAGGAAAACGTCGGACAGGCGGTACGGCCCAAACACACAGAGCAGATTTCACACACGTTACCAATGGTGTGTGTGTATATTAGGCCTCACCATTTCAACAAGAGGTTCCAACTTGAAAAGGTATCTACTGCAAATTAATTAAAATTTCTGTCTCCTGACCTCGCATAAGTGACATTTACAAGTCTGGTGGGAGTTTAAAACGTTATATTCTGGTTGGATGATTCTTCAGTATAAATCAACTGACTTGACCGGCATGTGATGCGGTTCATGTTTATTAACCCACCGCAAAGTGAGACAAATACAAATTATAACACAAAACTAATCAACAGTGGAGCAGCGATGTTCGCAGCACCGTTCATATAAAGTCACAGATTTTTTAAAAAACACACACAACTTAGAACTTCGGCTTTGCTCCTTCACATTGCTTTAGGTGCTCATCTAATCAAAGAACCCCCATTACGAGGTTTGATGATAACCCCTATGCAAAGCAGGACACTCAATAGCCATCGCCGCACACCCGCAAAGATACGTATGGCTGGTGCAGAAGCACAGACGTGTGATATTAACTTTGGAGTGTTCAATTTTATGCAGGATAGGTGAGGACACTCACATGTCCCTTCTCCCGTCCTTTTCCCACCTCCCAGCACCACTCTCACCCCCCCCCTCCCCACCCAATACTAACCCGCAGGCCCCTTCATTCACCCACCATGGTAGGGCCAAGCCAGAGAAGAGGGAAGTTGAACACTGAGGAATGGCCTGAAGGTCGGACGTGTCACAGGTCAGGGTCGGTCAGGTCAACGCTCTCTCCAAACAAGGCCACCAGCTGCCCCTTGTAGTGCTCAATGTTCCGTTTCATGATGTCCATGCAGGGGCCCAACAGACGCTCAAAGGCCTGCACGTCCATCACTGCGCAAGAGAAGAGAAGGCACACACCCCGTCTCTGTCAAAGCGAACCTATATATGGTGCTCATGCGAATCTCCCGGCCACCTCGGAGGGGGAAGTGGTGGGGGGGAATGTTTACGGTTGTCGGCATCAACGTCATCGTTGTCGTAATTATCATTAATTCTCTATCTGCTGCCAGATGAAAGACTCCTGTTTAGGTGCCATTGCCTCTGATCTAATGCAGCTGCGGCGTGCCTCTCACTTACGGGTACGCTGATATATTCTGATTCGCAATCAGCTTGAGATTTGAAAAGATTAAACAAACTGCCTGGGCACGTAAATGAAAAGAACAAACTAAAATGATGTAAACAGCGGCTACGTCACCTGTACAAGTAGAGGTGCATGTTTTGGCATGTTTTTCAAATCGAGGCTTTTTGGCCATTTAACGATGAAGTGGAACATATCCAGGCCCTTCAGGGGACGCTCTAAAGAGCCCCTTGCCAAAACTAGACTATGAACATTTTTTTATTTTACCAGGTAAGGCCCACTGAGCTATATCGCTCTTGTTCAGAAGCGACCTGGCCACAATTGATAATGCAACAAAGTGGCTTATCACGTGGAAATTCATAGCCACCAAATAGTCTGAACGCGTATTTCTAAATGTGGAGGGGAAAAACTGGAGGACCCGGAGAAAAATCGCGACCACGGCGAGAGAGAGACATGCAAACTCCAAAAATACAGGCGTCATGGTCGGGATCGAACCCAAGACCTCCTGTATACCCAGCAACATAGTTGGAAGACAACACGATACAGCACAGTTTAGACGTATATACTGCGGTGTCTAAATGAGACTGCATTGCAAGAATAAAGATGCCTCTACCCTTTCTGGCATAAATACAGGGTGTTCAGATGTTCAAACACCAAATAGTCACCTACTACAAGGAATCAAGTCTGAGTTAACCAAACAAACTTGTGGTAAAAAAAATGCGAACAAGATATGTTTGATAATTAGACATACACTGTCCTTGAAACTGATTTGTCTGCACGAAAGACAGCCTCTTCTATGGCTTTGCCTCACCAGTGGGAGACCAAAGGCTGCCAAAAGGCAAACAGTACGAGGGCAATGCAAACACCAAAGTATGAATAGCTTGGGTGAAGCATTTATCACTATTATTACGGTAACGGTCAAACACACTGATATCATCTTAGCTAGTTTTCTCCCTCCTTTGTTTAGAACTAAAATGCAAGCGTGTTCCAAGAAACCTTTGCATGATTTGAATGAGAATATGTGTTTAATGGTTTAAATTCAAACATGTGCCATGTGACTCCGATATACATTATAGATCAGAATTTTGGGAAATTGTAGTTCATATAATCGTCTAAATATGCCTGTGACCACCGCATCCTGGAATACACTGATCTTGTCAGATATTGGAGGCTAGGCAGGACTGAGTCCCTTACTCTTTGGTTCTTTCGGTAAAGTCACGTATAAAGATAAAATAATAAATTAAATAATAGCATACGACGTTTCGATTGCAACACAAGCAATCGTCATCAGGTATAAATGAAATTGCAACAAAAATCGAACCAGAAAACTATAGACAGACATATAAGCAGACAGATATCACCAAGATACATAGAGAGAGAGTAACACAGGCACAGAGAGGGAGATCGTCTCTGTGGCGAGGCCTTAAATAGACAGAGGGGGGGCGGGGGCGGAGAGAGGGAGGGGTTAGAGAAACAATTAACATGTCAATGAGTGCGGCGACGCGTGGTCAATTACGCAAGCTTGAACATTATCTTTATACGTGACTTTACCGAAAGAACCAAAGAGTAATTCCTGCAGTCACGAAAGCTCCAAATTTAAGATAGGACTGAGTCCACCAAGGCTTTGCCAGGTGTTGGAGGTGTATGGCTGCGAGGTGGCCGCGAGATGGTGGTGCTGAGTGTCGTCCCTTCGTGCGTGGTGGGTTTTTTCTTGCCGGGTCCTTTGGTTTTCCTCCAAACATGCCAAATTGGTCGCTAATGACATTGGCAGGACCATCCTAATAAAATAATCTTTAGATTCAACGTGCTTCCTGCGATACATAATTCGCATCACTATTATTGTTATGTTAGTGTCCGAACATTAAAAATAATCGGCATTAAGGTAAATAACCCTTTCTGACAAAGCCTATTCTTTGTTTTCATAATTTTGATACTGGCAAAAAAGGTCGGATAGGTTCATATTATTATAATAACGAGCTTGTGTGCTCGTCCAAGGACGGATGTATATTGCAGTAAATCTGAAATATTCAACAGAAAAATTGTTCAGCTCATGATTATTAATGAGGGGGGGGGGGGGGGTTGCCCCATGTGGAGTGACGTCACCTGCTAACGGTTATTGGGGAGGGGTGCGGCATGTGGAGTGACGTCACCCGCTCATGATTATTAATGAGGGGAGGGGTGCGGCATGTGGAGTGCGCGACCTTTTTGTGCGTTAGTGTAAATTTCCACGCGGTCATGAATATTAATGAAGGGGGGGGGGGCTCTTTTGCAGTGACGTCACGCACGTCACTTTCTGTAAATAAACGTCATATTTGAAGCGGCTTGTGCGTAATACATTATTTAATTCAGCTCGACCTTCCTCTGCGTTAGTGTAAAAATCTACCCACTCATGAATATTAATGAGGGGGGTGGGCCTCACGTGGAGTGACGTCACGCGCGGGACAGACATACATTTGTGTGTGATTATAGTAGGTAATTACATACCATTATGGATTACATACCACGTTCATATTTCAAGAGTCACCTCTTTGTAGTGGTATGCAACAATTTGTGCAAACATTGTAATGCAAACAGATGAGGCTTTGGAAGAATACGGTGACGCACATCTGGGTTATGTATATGTAATAAAAAGGACTCAGACACTTCTTGCTGACTCCGTGTCCTTTATTTGGGGTTCGCGTTCTCCTTCCCACACGGCACTCCTCCTGAGACTCTCTCCCTGGCAGCCCCACATCTGCCTTCGCTCCCGTAGCCTTCCACGCTCCTGCAGCTCCGCTGCAGGCTCTTGGTGCAGCCCTCCGGCTGCCCCCACAGCAGCTCCATCGCTGCTCCCTGTTCCTCCGTGCGTGGCGATCTCGCCACTTCCCAACGCCAGCCCTTCGTGGCCTTTATGGCTATCTCGCCATCTCCTACCTCAGCCCTTCGTGGCCTCTGTGGCTATCTCGCCACTTCCTACCTCAGCCCTTCGTGGCCTCTGTGGCTATCTCGCCACTCTCTCTTCCACCCCGCTGGCTGGCGCCGTCATGAGCCCCTCAGCCACCAGGCTGAGGCACGGCGACCACCCAACGTGTTCACCACCCTTCACTCCCCCGACTGACCCAGATAGCTTCCTGTCTCCCCGCTATAACTTCTCCCCCACGTCACCCTGACTCCTCCCTCTCGGATCGTCATATCCGCCCCGCCCATTTACGCCCGCATTACACTACCCTCCCCCGTAGAGAAAATCCCAGCCGTCCTCGGCTGAACAGAACAAAATAATGCGGGCGAAGGCATCACAATCAGGAGTCCCCCAGACACAACGGAGATTATAACAACAACACAAGCAAAGAAAGGGGAGGTATCAGGAACTGGAACAGAACACCGGCCTGTCCTCCGCGCAACATCAACAAGAATAAAAATGGCACAATGAACAAAAACGGCAACTGACACGCAAGAACGGCCAACGCGCACAACCCAGAAATGTGATGTTTTAGTGCGTGTCCATGTTGCAGTTCCATCCGCTCGGCTCAAGTCCAACGTCAAAGAGCAAGTGGTAGAGCAGAATGACGAACGGCGCTCAATTGCTCCTTCAAGTCCTCATCCAGCTAGCACACCAGGTAACACCCAGTGCGACGGGAGCTGAAGAATCTGTGACGAGAAGGAGAATCCAATCCCCTGAGGCACAGCACAACAACGCACATCCGCATGTCGTACACGACAGCCACCCGGCCTCAGGGTAGTGGAGATGATGTAAATTCAGCCCGCTTAAAAAAAACTCCCCATAAATACCTAAAATAACGCAATGGATGCCCCAGTATTTACATTTTAACAACAATATTATTTACACGTGACAACAACAACAAAATTTCCTGCTCTTACCCACCAGCAGTCCTCCCTTGAGGACCAGCACAGACATCGCACGTACACAGCATGTACCCACGGTCACTCTCAGCAACCCAACAAAACACCTAATCGCACACCCTCGCGTGGAGAGAGCCACGCTCCCCAGCGGTGACGTTTAACTCGCCGTAACCCTCACCGTGGTCGTCAACCCACAGCAACATCCATTTACCATACTCTCGGCTAGTGCCATTTCGGGGAAGATCAGCACTCGGCCATGCTCCTCCCTTACTATCCCATCAGCGATGGACACACACCAGCCTCTTATAGTCTGACGCTTTATAGCCCAGGGAAGGTTCATCCCCCAGCAATGCCAGACCCCATGTACTCTCCCCACGGGGCAATGTTCTCTTATAGAGACAATAACACCCTAACCCAGATCCCGTGAGCCCCAGGCACACCAGGTTCAGTCTGCCACCGCACAACTGAACCATGACTCCCCGAGCCATATGAGCACATGGCCCATTAGTTTAAGACATACCACGGAGGTTTCGCCTCCGGGCTGTCAGGTCAGCCATCAGCCATAGGCCGATGTGACCACAACTCGTGCATCACCCAATCAACAATGGCGGCATAACATATGGAATATTTGCCCCACCGCGGTTTTTCCCGCGCGCTCAAAAATGGCGTCCCCCTTCGCCCAGCGCGTTCGCGCAATCTCTCGCGCGCACTCAAAATGGCGGCCCTTTCCGCAAAGCGCATCGTCGCCATACCCCGCGTGCGCGCAAAATGGCGGCCCAACGTGCGAACACGTGGCCAGTTTTCTCCATTCGTGCACCCCAGCTTCCCTTAGCTGGGGGTCACAAGACGCATCCCCCGTCACGTTATAACAACCCCACCAACGATAGACGCACAGCCCCAGCTTGCTGCGCACAGCTGTCATATCGTGGAATTTTTAACCAATATTTTACCAACCACATTGGTTACTCAACCCAACTCGCAAAGCAACTCGTGGCTGCATGCAATCAACCAATACACGACGCCACTTGGCGCCCATTTACGATCCCATTAGCATTCACATCTAAGCCACCCACAACGGCGTCATCGCGCACCCTCATTTTCAAAAAGCTCAATTACCCCTATAATATACACGCAATCTCGTGTGCACAACACCCATACAACCAAATTTTTGGGTCCCCTCTCTATAATATACACGCAATCTCGTGTGCACAACACCCATACAACCAAATTTTATGGTCCCCCTCTATAATATACACGCAATCTCGTGTGCACAACAACCATACAACCAAATATTTGGGTCCCCCTCGAATTTGTTACCAATTTCCAACAGGTACGCACAATATAATAACAATCTCAATTCCAATAGTCAACCACTGCATCGCACCCCATAACCATACAGAACGGTATAACAGCACATGCAATCAGCATATCGCGATCACACGCGTACATTTAAGCACAATAGCAAGCAGATCTGCAGGCAACCAACACACCATTAATCCTGTCGTAACTTTGCAGCAACAACACAATTATTCTCTCTCTTGCAACAATCGCATCGCACACAGCACCTCGCAGCACAATACACCAAAAAAAAAAATTTTTTTTTTCATTTAAGCCCATCGCACAAGGTAACCCACAAATAATACAGCGCAAGATACCCGACGCTCCCAAGTTAATAATTAACTTCACCATCAAGATAACAACTCCACGCAGCAGCGCACACACACAATTTGACACTCAGCAAATACAGCAGACTCTCCGTCCATTCTCAACACACGCACACACTTATATTGACACCAAGCAACAAGCAGATAGCGCGTTCATCGTTATTACACACACATACACACAGTCCGAACCGCGCTCCGCACAATCGAGTCATAAGAGAAAACCAAAATAGCCCCCCCCCGGCCCTCGAAAGATGAGTGAGGTGTGTGTTAAGGCCGGGTGCGTATCGTTATGACTCGCCCGGGGCTGCAGCAAGAAGAGGACGGCAGGGTGGCAACTTGAGACGCCTCGCAGAACTCGTTCGGCGACTTGACGGCTCCGTTGTCACGCACCCGAGCCAGGACGGGAAGCTCCCGCCCCAGCAGCTGCAGCATCGGCGTCTTCTCCTCGCAGCACCCCCTCGAAAAACAGCAGCTCACAGCAGGCTGCTCACCCCGCGGCACCTCCAGATGGCAGCGCAAGGCTGCCTCTCCGCCGCGATGTTGAAGATGGCGGCGTCCTCCCGCCGCGGTGAAGACAAGATGGCGGCTTCCCGCCGTTTCTCCCCTGCCACGCCCAAGATGGCGTCTTCGTGCCACGTGGCAATGGCGCTGGCAGCGCAGGAAAGGCAGAGGCCTGCGGATCACCACCGGGCCTCCCCGACGTCGTCCTCGGCGTGGTGAACTCACACAGTTGCGCCAGCACGATTTTCAAGGTCCCCATCTGCATCGCTATCTGTCTCCATCGTAAGTTGGCGTCCTCCGGCACAGACAGGTCCACCGACGCGGCGACACCTTGCTCACCCGGACCCGTACTCGTTCCAGAACGGATCTCCTCTTCCATCGCAGGCAGGTCCACCGTCTGAGGAAGGTCGTCGTCGTCGGATGATGTAGCAGGAATATTCTTTTTTTTCTTCTTTCTCTCAGTTGTTTTGAGATGCCGTTTCACTTCTGACTCCAGTGTAATAAAAGGACTCAGACACTTCTTGCTGACTCCGTGTCCTTTATTTGGGGTTCGCGTTCTCCTTCCCACACGGCACTCCTCCTGAGACTCTCTCCCTGGCAGCCCCACATCTGCCTTCGCTCCCGTAGCCTTCCACGCTCCTGCAGCTCCGCTGCAGGCTCTTGGTGCAGCCCTCCGGCTGCCCCCACAGCAGCTCCATCGCTGCTCCCTGTTCCTCCGTGCGTGGCGATCTCGCCACTTCCCAACGCCAGCCCTTCGTGGCCTTTATGGCTATCTCGCCATCTCCTACCTCAGCCCTTCGTGGCCTCTGTGGCTATCTCGCCACTTCCTACCTCAGCCCTTCGTGGCCTCTGTGGCTATCTCGCCACTCTCTCTTCCACCCCGCTGGCTGGCGCCGTCATGAGCCCCTCAGCCACCAGGCTGAGGCACGGCGACCACCCAACGTGTTCACCACCCTTCACTCCCCCGACTGACCCAGATAGCTTCCTGTCTCCCCGCTATAACTTCTCCCCCACGTCACCCTGACTCCTCCCTCTCGGATCGTCATATCCGCCCCGCCCATTTACGCCCGCATTACATATAGACTGAAGAATATTGCGGAGCACCTCTGGGGAATAAATATGAAGCCCACTGTATTGGACATTACTTAAATATTTCTCGGAAGAACTTGGGAAGGTTTTGCAGTGTGTCCGGCTGAATATGTAATTTTCACAAAATAGGTCGTCACGTCAATTTGCATGGTGTACAGCTGTGATTATCCGGTGTTTTTTTTTTGTAGTGGTTAGGAAAGCCATTGTATTTATAGACTCATAATGGCAGGGGTTCAAGTGCTTGTGTCATGTGGTGTAATGGCACGATATTTGAAAGTGCAAGTTGATACTGTATATCTAAACATCTTAGGTGGTCTAATGTGGTTATAATTAAAAAACCTCCAGGTTACAATATTCATGTAAGCCCTATTTGCAATTTTATTTGCACAAATGTGAACAAATTAGCTTCAATTCTTGCCCCAAAAAGCTGTACCTTTCCAGATCACAGATGGTAGTAAATCCCATGGCATAATTGTCAGGTCTGTCACTGTGCACTCTCTGTCAATGCCAAATTTTCACAACACAGACCCAGCATTTCTTCAAATGCATCTATTCATTATTAATGTGTTATAAACACTGTGGTGGAGTAGTGGTCCAGCGGTTAGGACACTGCCACAGATAATTTATCAGGATCGAGCGATATCTTAACCAGTCCTGGGCATTTCTCTTACAAAACAACATTGACTAGAATGGTGAAATATTTCAAAATAACCCTCCCCCCATGGCCCTTCTGGATGTGCGGAGGCCTTCATCCAGCAGTGGATCGATAGAGGTCTGTAAACTATGTTTACAGAAGTCTATAATAATGTTTAATGATTTTTTAAATATAAATATATATGAATACTCTTCCTTTAACCTTGAACAAAAAAGCAACGTTTGCGTAAACTTGCCTATTTCTAAATGAAAACACAAGCACATAAATCATGTTTTGTGTGTGTGTGTTTAGTTTTTTGGCCTTCGCCCGCATCTCCGATGAGCACGGTTGGCTATGTACGGTGCGAAAGAAGTTCAACATACATACACGTTATGATAATCAACGCCAGAAACGGCACAACATAAATACCAATTCTTGCCCACAGTGTGGCCGATGCTTCCGCTCAAGGGCTGGGCCTCTCATCCCACCGGGACGCAATGAAATGATGCTGCTAGCTGTTCTCCGCAGCCATCATCGTTCGCGATGAACAGCCGGAGAAGAAGAATAGTGGATATCAGAAAACTAAAGTAAAACTATTTTTTATTCTACCAGGTAAGGCCGACTGAGCTTTATAGCTCTTTTTCAGAAGTCACCTGGCCACAACAATGTGACTTATCACGTAGAAATTTATAGCAGCAGCCAAATACTTTAAACACATGACGTCAATTCTAAATGTGGAGGGAAAAACCGGAGGACCCGGAGAAAAATTCACACGACCACGGGGATAAAGCTTTCGTGACTGCAGGGATTAAAATTCTTGGTTCTTTCGGTAAAGTCACGTAGAAGGGAAACAATAAAATACAAATATAAAACAATAAAATTCTCACGACGTTTCGACTGCAACACACCTGATGACGATTGCTTGTGTTGCAGTCGAAACGTGGTGAGAATTTAATGGTTTTATATTTTTACTATTTTATTTTATCCCTTCTACGTGACTTTACCGAAAGAACCCAGAATACGAGGTAGTTAATGTCTCGCAACCGCGCGGCGCCCTCAACAGCCAGCGACTGGACTCACCGGCGCACTTGACTTCCCCGACGGCGTAAGCCGAGGCGGCGCGCGGCTTGTTGGTGACGAGCGCCAGCTCGCCGAAGTAGTGGCCGCGCGTGCACCGCGTGATCTCCACCTCCCGCGGGTCCATCTCCGCCACCGACTGCCGCGGGCGTTTCAGACGGAGGCACGCGGAGCAAATTGAAATCACGCATTCTTCTTATTATAACGCACGGCCTGGAGTTAAGTCAGCGATGTTTCTACGTTGATGCCGAGGTTGGCGAGTGAGCCAGTGGATGTGCGCAGAAGTGGCCTCGTGCTGAATGTCTGAATTGCTGCCGGTGAACGATCGAAGGGGGTATTGGCATCACTATATGCGGTCAGCGGTTTGAGATATCGTCTCACGTGGAGATTTATAGACTTACAAAGAGATCTATAGAATTACGCGAAGGCCGTTGACTTCTCAGGTGCTTCTTTTGTATGGCAGAGAGTTGATTAAGGATTATTTATGTTATTGTCAAGGTTGGCGAGTGAGCCAGTGGACGGCTTGTGGTGAATGATTGAAGCCGGCAGTAGCTTTACTCTTGTGGTCCATGATTTTAAATTGGAGACCACAGTCACCAATCCATTGGTGAAGGAGATATCTGCATTTGCTGTGAAATGTTCTAATGTGCAAAATTCGTTTTTATGCAATATTGTGTCTTGCAGTGACAGGCTTCTATTGTTTAGAAAGGCCTTTACCAATAACATCAGGTAAACCAGCAGTATTTGTTTAATACGCTCTGCTCATGGGTTTCCTAGAAAATCTAAAATGTGCTAAAACAAATTCTGCTGATTAACATAGGGCTAGAAGGACAAGAGGCTGGTATAATGAAAACATTTTATAATTAGAGATATGGAAATGAAGCCAATATTTTATAAGTTAACATATTAAACGTTCCTTCAATGCCTACAGGAGAGTAATTGGCAACGAGTTTTTGACAATCATTGAGGAAATACACATTCACCCAGGCAGGCGAGTGGATGCCAGAAACCAGATGCGACTTTTGTCTAAAAGCAGAGGAATGCTACACAGATTGAGATTCCCCAGTGAATGTGTCGTGCTACCCAGCCAAAACAAATATCAGCTGTGCTCAACATGTTTTGCATTATGATGACAATATTAGAAATTATTTTACCCTATAATTAAAGTATCGGTGTGAGAATGAGTTAAAAAAAAACTGTCCCGTCTGGAACATACGTAAAAAAAATCACGTCATATTCAGGAACAACTTTATTAGAGACACCACAGAGCTACTCTTCGTGCTGCGAGGCATAGGTTTGTGGTTAGGTCCATGCCAAATTGATGATCTCAGACACAAGCTGTCCTCCTGTGCCCATCAACATATCCTAAATATTACCATATTGAAATAGAATACAAGTCCAGTGAATTGTATTTCCGTCACATTCTAACGGTGTGCTGCAACGTGCTAAATCAGGCACACGTTTGACGCCTGCGAGTGTTGTTCTTACCTTCCTCCGCATCGCAATTCTCACTTCCCCGGACTCGACGAGGTAAAAACAGTCAGCTTTTTCTCCCTGGCGGCAAAGATGAAAGCTAAAATTGGTTTTGCGAAACAATTAAAAGAAGTACAGAAACCTAACACTTTGGCAGCGGGGTTGAAAGGTTAAAGGAACGGACATGCAAAGCAACCGATAAATAAAGGTCATAAAAGTTCAGTGTTTTGCCAGCTCGTGGAAATGTTTACGTGACAATTTAAAAGTGCGGCGGCTCCTTTTTTAGTCGTGAATTGCGCGCAAGCCGACATTTTCAATGCGGCCTGCATATATTTTTTCACGAAATACGGTTTCAGGAGATTTCTGCGACGGGTCACCTGAGCAATGATCCGCTCGGAATCTTGAAAGCTTTTCGACGCGATCACGTCGACGACCTTTAACCTCTCGGAAAACTGTTGGCGAGAAAGACGCAATGAGGTGTTGTTGTGTGTGCAGTCTTGGCTCGGATTGTATAGTTGTTACTTCACAAATGTATGTACGTGTGTATTGAATGTGCAGTCGTAAAAGGTGAGTGCTGGTGATTTCATTTTACTACTGTACTCACATCAAGTGACTTTAGTAGAGGTACTGTTTCAATGAAGCATTCGTACATTTTTCGTTTCTTTGCTGCATTTTTTACGATGATCCGTCTGAAGGTAAGGCGATCCTGGCCACAGAACGAACAGAAAATAATACAGACGTTACTTTAACTTGCCTTTGTTTTTTTATTATTATTTATAAATTTCCACAATTGTTTATCCGATTGTCCCATTCGGTTCTTTCACAGAGCAGTGCAACCGTCAGTGTGAGAGGACGGCACACGGAATTGGATGTCAGAGAACTACTTTTGAGAAGCCTTCAAGTGACCTCTTCTCCACACTTGGAGGAACTGCACCTGTCTGTCCACCCTGCTACAGATTAATGTCCGTCTCAAATTAAAATAAACATGAGTAATTCTAAGACTTGAGATTTAGCCAAATTAAGTGGAAAAAAACGAATATTATGGGGCTCTTTCTGTGCAGTCAGTTAGTGACTAGGCTAAGACCCCTGAACTCACTAAACTTCTGGCTGTCGCCTGATGAGGCTGGTTGTAATTACCGGTTAAACGTCATACTCGAATTGTAACTGTTGTGGGTTTACTCTCAAACACACCGGTGTGCTGTACTAGTAACTAATTGGCATGTTTTGTTAACGTGACAAATGTTACTAATTGGCTGTGTCGGGCGGTGGTGGTGTTTAACGACACATTTATATTTACGCGATCTAATTTAAAAAAACCCACTCAATTATGGATAAACTTGAAGACTGAGATTAATCAAAGGCAGATGTGCGGCTTTGAACCCAGGGGTCTCAGTGGTGCCAGCTCAGCCCTTCGACCTCTGAGCCACCAAGCCACCTCTGGATTTATTTACTTTCAATGACCTTCTTAAGGCCTGATTTTCTTTTCTCCTGAATTCTGTCATTAAAACACCCACAACGTGGCTGGGCGAACTGACACAGTGTGCGCAGTTGCATTGTTATGAAGTCATAAAGCTTACGTTAACAATTCTTGTTTACAATTAACATAACAAATCGTTCCACTCGTTATGGAAAATAATCAAACCTTTCAGTAAAAACAACAAGTCAATATTTGTTTAGTTTACTTTGCATGGTGATTTGGACCTAGGTACTAATTTGTGTGCATTTCAGAACCTTTTTGTCAATGCTGTTTACCGTTTACGATGTTTAATTCTTAATGTTATATCGAAGCACACAAGAACCCTCTTTTATGATGTTTGCTGTTCACATGGTTAGCTACGCATGTGTAACTGTTGCATGAGAGCCACTTCGTCATTAAAATATATTCGTTGTTTACCCAGGCATGCATTGACATGTTTTAAAACTTTTTCTTTCAATAGGGCTCTTACCAAATAAAAAAAAAATATCATATTGGTGACCGAGCTAAGACCAGCAACTCGATGCAGAAGAGAACCTGGTTTAATCACAGGTGGCTGACCTAATCTCAGAGTGAGTGACTCTGACATGGGCAATTGCCCTCTACCCCCTCCTCCCAAATAAATGATCCAGCCACCTCATCTATTATTCACGTCTCTATATAATTAATTTACAGCGCTAACCGCCGCACCACCACTCCACCCCCACCACACGCCTCGTGTATATCTTTAATTATTTATCGTCTTGCTCAAACCTATCAATAATAAAGAGGCCCGCCGTCCGTGACCTGCGTGCCCCCTCCCCCGACGGTCCGTTTTTTTTTAACATACACACCAGTCCCCAGAGGGCCCCCTCGGACGTGGCGATGATGGTGGCGGCTCTGGACGTGTTGTACATGAGGGCGAGCTCGCCGAAGCTCCCCCGGTTGTTGTAGGCGCCCACGCAGCGCGAGACGTCGTTCGTCGTCACGTAGATGTCGTACATTCCCCTGCCAAACGGAAACGAAAATCACGTTTCTGGGGGGAGAGTGGGGAGTCGTGCCGTGCGTGCATGGTGTTGGGGGGGGGGGAAGGTTTGGCATTGACGGATCCTAAGATCCACGGTTTGCATAAACGACTCCAGTCATGCCTCGCGGACACTCGCAAATGGACGCAGACGGCAGGATACATTTTAGATTTGAAGCTTTCGTGACTGCAAGGATTCATATTCTTAGGTTTTTTCGGTAAAGTCACGTAGGTAAAAAATTTTAATTAATAAAAGTAAAATACAAATAAAATAAAAATCACGACGTTTCGGAGGCAACACAAGCTTTCGTCTTCAGGTGGAACCAGTCACAGCACGATAGCTGTATCAAGTGAGAGAAATTCTAAGAAAACAGTCCTTGTATATATACTGGTTGAGGGTGGGAGGAGCCAAACTGGCCATGAATATTATTTTTGTGAGGTTCGGTGCGGCTGAAGCACGCTGTTAGGAATGAGCCTGAATATGATACATTTTGCCGCTGCTTTCAAGTGACTCCTCTTGTATGTAGTTTGTATGTTGAACTTCTTTCGCACCGTACGTAGCCAACCGCGCGAATCAGAGGTACAGGGCTGAAGGACAACAAAATAAACTAAAAGAGCAGTTTTAAGGAAATGAGTTTTCAATCGAGTTGAAAGTGTTTCCTAATATCGGTAGAGGATTGAATACAGCAATAGGAAGGATTTGCTGCATTGTCTGTGTCACTCTACTCTTACGTGCGCAAAGGCTCGGATAATGTAGAGGTGAAACAACTATTTCAAGTATTGGTTAATATTGATTCCTAAGCTCAAGACACATGCATTCAATTGCATGTGTTAGAATCACTGTTTTTTCTATTTATATATGTTGTATGTCACAGGTTCATGTGGCCTCTGCAGCCAGTTGTGGCTACTATAATCTCCACACTTAAAAAATAAATACAAATTTAGTGATTCTGAATTGTGACAGTTCATCAAATTACAGGGCAGTTGACTCAAAATAGAAATATATTTTTGCAAATAAAGGAGGGTCCTTATGCAAGATGGCAACATTTGTTTAAACTTTCTTAACAGTGCGGCTACATTCTGCTTTAAACGAGGGACCCCTTAATGCTGGTTTTTACAAGTTTTGGACAGCTCTTTCATCAATTTGTCCAGTTATTCACTTGCACGGCAAGTCTCTTGTAGCAACACACATTTATTGGACTCTCTCTTTTTATGTATGTTGAACTTTTGCGGAAGCTATTGCGACCCCCCCCCCCCCTCCCCCGTTTATGCACAGACACAGCTAATCCATCAACTCTTTCAACCGCAGTTGGAAAGTGCTCAAATGTTCATCGCTACCATCCTGCTGCACCTCTCAATGACGTAGAAGTTGTCTCCATCAGCTCCCTGGTCAATGACGTGTTCCCCAGTCTCCACCGTCTTTTCAAACATCGCGTCCAGAACCTGTGACATCTGCTCCTGAAGTAGATGAGGCGGGGGGGAGGGAAATATTAGTATTTTAGGCGCTACGGTGGCGAGATGTTAACTCCCTCGTCAGGTATGCAGTTCGTGGGTTTGATCCTGACACCTGGATATTTGAAGTTTGCATGTTCTCCCAGTGGTCGCGTGGATTTTTCTACAGGTCCTCCGGCTTTTCCCTGCACGTTTAAAAACGTGCGTTTAGAGTGTTTGGCTGCGATACATTTCCACGTGATAAGCCACTTCGTTGAGCTATCATTTGTGGCCAGGTCGCTTCTGAAAAAGAGATATATAGCTCAGTGGGCCTTACCTGGTAAAAAAAAGTTTCGTTATTTTTTTTTATCTCGGCCCGTAGCACTTAAAACGCCGTTTCAGATTCGTGGGAGATACGGTTTAAAATGAATGCGCTCCCTGTTCGTAGACATTACCACTTGTGTTGACAGTGTTTTGACACAGTTTCCGTAAACAACTAGGCACTATGTGATGAACCTCGCCCGTGTTCTCTCTCACTCTCTCCTTTTGTAAATTAAACACAACATGCACCGACGCAGCTGCTAGTCACCGGTCAACATCTTAACGACATGTGCATTTTTTTGTACGTGTTTGCACTTGCACACGTAACGGTCCTTTGTCATTCCACTACTGGATGATGGCTGCCCCGCTCCGTGGAGATGGTTTGGTGGAGGGGGGGGAGAGGTTATTTGAACTCCACGACGCTGGTCAGTGCGGGTTGGCGAAGAGAACAACTGCAGTACAGTACAACAATACATTTCTCTGCACTACCCCACGATGTAGCGCTGCTGCAGCCTGTAACATCTGTTACATTAGGTGGCTGGCCATCCAAAAAAACTGTCCAGGCTCATATCTGCTTCGCCTCCGACATATGACGAGATCGAACGCATTCTGGGCGATTTGGCCACAAGCCACGCATGTTAATTTCTACGTAAATATAAACGTGTACGGTAATTGTGATGATGTTTTATAGTAATCGGTGCGGGGTTATCAGATTGTTTGTTGACGTCATTGTTGACATCGGTGCTGTGTGCAGTTATGCAATGTCTTACCTGGTCGAGGTTTTTAAAGATTAGGATGTGCTTGCAGGCCTCCTGCAGCCTGTTGCGCTGCTCGTCTGTCTTGGGATGAATGACCTGCAGAGATAAACATTCTCCTTATCTCCAGTCAACACACGCTGCAGTACACACTGCTCATGAAGCTGCAAACTTACACACTGAGAACTATCTGTGATGCATTAAGCCATAAAAGTGGCTGTTTCATTCATTCGGTCACATTGTGTGAGCACGATTGCACGAGTGGTCACAAGTCAGGTTTAAAGTTTAAAGAAATGTTTCCTCTTTTGAGAATTGTGGTGAATGGTAACTCCTCAAGTGGCTGCAGAAGAGGCGTGGGGCGGGGGATGTGAATCCGCTACATGCAACATATCGTCATAATAATCACCATCATCACCATTCATTAATGATCAACCACTGCTGTATGAAGACCCTGCCCCCAAAGCTGTCAACAACCTCTCATAGTGCCGCGATGTGACAATCCATCTCGCTCAGGGGTAGGCAAGCAAAAGATCAAGAAGAGCTATTCTATTTGAATTCGGTAAAAAAAAAAAACCCTAAATCTTTCGAGAGCCGCAATGCACGCGGTGAATAAGAGTGGCGAAGCGGTCCTTAAAGAGCCGTGTGCATCCCCGGAGCGGCAGGTTGTCGACCCCTGATCCAGCTCCCGCACACTCGCTCCATCTTCTCTGTGAGCAAGAGCAAGACTGGAGTGATAAAAATGTTTTTCAACTGAATGAAAGGCATATTGTGTACACTGTATTGTTGTTGAACATGGTATTTGGTCTACAAGCACTTGCTAAGCAATTATATATCGAACAACACTTTTTGCTCTGGCACCTTGCATGTTTGTACGTTGAAGGTCTTTCGTAGCCAACCGTGCTAATCGGAGGTGCGGGGGAAGGACAACAAACTAAACCCACAACGTTTCTATGCAACATCTCAGTCCTTGAGATGTGCTGCATGGGAGGTATAAATATGAAATGAGCACCCAACCAGCGTTCGGTTTGTTAGCAGCGGTTGAACACGTGGTAGGCTTTCGCAACCAATATCATCCATAATAGAGGTTTTTTGGGTTAGATCGCGTAAATATATAACAACATTTACAAACTGAGTACGACGTTTCGCCAGTAATTACAACGAGCTTCATAAATGTTGTGGCTTGGCTCACCAACACACCGGTGTGCTGTACTAGTGACGAATTGGCCACGTTCTGTTTACGTGACAACCCTTACTAGTTGGCTGTTTTGGGTGGTGGTGGGTTTTAACGACACATTTATAAATTTACGCGATCTAACCCAAAAACCTCTATTGTTAGCAGCAGTTTGGCATATGCCCATATAGCATGAATCTTCCCATATGCTTTTCCTTTTCTACATGTGGCACTTTGTCATTCTTCATTGCAGTATTGTCATCATTGCCCTGAGAATGACTGTGTCAGGGCCCTTTATATATTTGAATAATAAAAAATTGTCAAATCGAAAATACCCCAACAAAAAATCATACCGATTGAAGAACTCTTAAGTGTATATACAACATACGAATTGAAAATCCCCAATTATTATGCGCGCACGTTGATGCGTGTATCATCATCATTCGCATCTGCTGTGACCAATTCACTGCCGTCTCCCGTGGGGTCTGCGATGTGACGCGATGCCTCTGGTCATGAGATGGCAATCGATGGCCTCCATGCGTCACCGTTTCACACGCGGCATCGACACATTTGCATGGACGTCACGCGATTGTGGTTGGTGTGAACACGAGGTTGTCCACGTGCGTTGTGATTTGACCGATATGTACAACCATCCGTGTGCGGGTATAGTGCATTCATCATCGCTGCAGTTAGTGGTTTTTAAAACAGTGATGAATTGAAGTCAATTTTTGTCGGGGTCATTTTTATTTATTTTTTATATAAGAGCACGGAGGAAGGTGGATAATGGGGTGTTTAAGGCTTTGACAAAATAACAACTAAGTTACCGAGGCTTCTGAAATAAAAGCTGTTAATAGTGAAGGCCGGCAGTGTAATGTTGATTTGAAGCGGTGTAATGATTTGGTAATATTCTTCCACTGTCGCGTGAATGCGCCATGCCTGCAACAATCGGTAGGTGATGGTCGGTGCAAGTGGCTCATGTGTCATACAGCAAACAGTTCCATCTCGCACACCGCCGCATATCCACCCTGGCCACATAACCGCCCGACACCCCCCAGTGCACTGTTGCTGCACGAGTGTCAGTTTCCACAGATGTCCACAAATATGACCTCTTCACATAGGTCATATTTTCATGCTTATTCTCATGTGCATTTGCTTGCTCCTAAAGCAGAGTAAAGCATTTTCCCCATGCTTAAAGAAAATATTGTGCTGTAGTTGGTATCCGGGAGCCTATTTTGTGCGTGGTGCAAGTGTCATTTGATAATGACACTCACATATCCGACCGTACCTCTCAGTTCCCAGTGCGTCGGAAATGCGACGTTGTGAACGCAAACCACATCATGGAAAGCACTGTGTAAATATACAGCTATTACTGCACTGTATTCGGAATCAGAAATATAGTGAGGAAAGTCTACATGGATCTTTCGGTAAAGTCACGTAGAAGGGAATTGATAAAATAATATAAATAAAACATAATACAATTCTCACGACGTATCGTTATTAATGGTAGTGAGGAAAGTCTACAATCTACATTAAATTGGTATTCATCACATACCTGTCCTACCTTATTACAGACAAATTCAGACCGTATTGGTCATCTCGTGCCCTTATTAATCTCAACAACGTTCATCCTACAAAGTCCCATCACAAGGAAGAAACATAAACAAATAGACAAAAATAATAATGTTTTTTTTGCCCGTATTGAAAATGGGTAAACCATATGGGTTGACGGTTATGTTCTTAGCCAAATGTGGGATCTTTGTAGGAGGTCCAAATTCATGTTTTTCGTTTGTTATCACCGTTATTATTCGAGTGAGCCGGTGTGACTGGTTACTCACTCTGGCTTCTGTGTCTTCCTCCTCTTCGTCTGGATTGTAGGCCTCCGCACACACTGAGGGGAGGAGAGACGCCGTGATGAGGAGGTGGAGGGGCGCCAGGTAGATCCCACGGGCTCGATCCACCCTCACAACACGCCGTGTACGGTACTGTGTATGCAGACACACGTCTTCGGCAGCGACGCATAATAGCAAGCAACGCCTTCTTGGTTCTTTCGGTAAAGTCACGTAGAAGGGATGTAATATTATATAATTTTATTATGTTTTATTTTTATTATTGTATTACTTCCCTTCTACGTGACTTTACCGAAAGAACCAAGAAGATGAATCCCTGCAGTCACGAAAGCTTTAAATCGAAATTTAGCAAGCAACGCTTCGCTTGTCAGGGCGACGTCACTCGATTCCAGGAGTTCATTACCTGACAAAGCTCGAAGCAGTTTGTGCGAAACGTCGTCGCGGGTCAATGTTGAATTTGGTGAAGAGTGTAACGCCACGGGTGAGGAAGAGTTGTTTTTATATATTGGTCAGAATTGTGATCAGTAGAGGGCGCTTCAAAAAAATGTTAACACTTACATGGGACTATCGTTTTTAATGGATAATAATACAGAGTAACGTGAAAACAAATATATGTTAATAGCTGCAAAGAGTAAAAGAGTCTCCACTTGTTCGCCATCATTGTCAACACGTGCCTGGAATCTTCTCCAGGTGGTCTCCAGAGCCCGGAGGCACATTTATTGTGGTGCTGTTGCAAATTCTCCGAAGTGTTCACATTTTTTTGAAGCACCCTGTACATTGGCACGTACGGATAGTAACTTTTCTAGACGCGACAATCTTATCGGGTGGCGGAGGGTTATTGACGATGTTGGCATAAAACCACCGCGTGGCCTCACACGAATTACAACCTCGGGGCTTTGTTTTGGCTAGCAGAATCTAGGTTTTAAACTTGAGATGACATCATCGCCGTTCTTGCACACATCCTGCGACACACGGCCTTGCGTTATCTGTTTGTGTGTTTTGGCAGCAGAAAGGTAAGCCAAGGCAGCTGCTGCACTGGTTTCATCCTCGTTGAGACTCGTCAGGGTAGGTCTTCTGTATGGTATTTCATCTTGCACACTATAGCTGTCATTGATGGAAGATGCAACGATTTAGATTTGGAGTTGTAAGAATCCCATACTTACAATGTGTGTGCGTGCATTGGTCATAAATACTGTTGTTACTTTCACATTAACGGTAATGATGGCTTCTTAAAAATCAATTAATGCGTCCGAATGTTATATAAAATGTAACAATATATTTTATTGTAAAAAAATAAATTGCATTGTATTTACTTACTTGCTGCTGGCCTTTGACCAATGTGTCCGATCTCACCAGATCTTAGCAGCTAGGCAAATCGCGAGCCTGGACACTACTTTAGATGGGTGACCATCATGCACAGCAGGCTGTAGAGCCACGTCACGAGCAAGAGAGGACCCATTGTTGTGCTGTGCTCTCTATGCTCCCGTGTCTGCGCTCCACGCATTCCACAAATCCACACTGACCGGTACGGTGGCCAGCCCTCAACGTGTGGTGGTGGTGGGGGGGGAGGCCCTCATCCAGCAGTGGATGAACAAACACCGGATGTACATGAACTAGAACCTCCTTCTAAATAAGCCGTGAATATGCGTGCTCAGAAGAGATAAAAAAAAAGCTCAGGTTTATATTTGCCTATAATTATCGTGAACGAGGCAGGAAAAAAAAAGTTTGGAAATGCTAAATGCCAGTGGGGGCAATAGCACAGCTTAATTAGCGAGGGATTAGCACTCAAGTAGAAACACCTTCACAGCAGCAGGTGGACGAACATCCTCTCTCCATCCGTTCTGACTCAGTCTACCCCACGGCCCCCTTCACTGCATCCGCACTCCCCCACCTACCCCCTCTCCTCAGCCCAGCCCCATCTCGCGCCCCCCCCCCCCCCCCCCCACTTTCTTCTTGTCAACATTCCATTAGCGTGCTGTGCACAACATTGTGCAACACCTAGCAACGAAGGCGTCACAGCCCTGGGGTTTGCGGGGAGGGGCGCGGGGGGGCTTTGGTGAATCCTGCAGGATCGCTGGTTGTCCAGAGAGAGAGAGAGGGTGAGTGAGCCAGAGAGAGAGGGGCGAGTGAGCCAGAGAGAGAGAGGGCGAGTGAGCCAGACCGAGAAAGAGAGCAGGCGGGTGAGTGAGCCAGAGAGAGAGAGAGTCAGCGGGCGAGTGAGTGAGCCAGAGAGAGCGAGAGAGAGAGAGTAGGCGGGCGAGTGAGCCAGAGAGAGAGGGCGAGTGAGCCAGAGAGAGAGTAAGCAGGCGAGTGAGTGAGCCAGAGTGAGCCAGAGAGAGAGGGCGAGTGAGCCAGAGAGAGAGTAAGCGGGCGAGTGAGTGAGCCAGAGAGAGAGGGCGAGTGAGCCAGAGAGAGAGTAAGCGGGCGAGTGAGTGAGCCAGAGTGAGCCAGAGAGAGAGAGGGCGAGTGAGCCAGAGAGAGCCAGAGAGAGTAAGCGGGCGAGTGAGTCAGCCAGAGTGAGCCAGAGAGAGAGAGTCAGCGGGCGAGTGAGCCAGAGAGAGCGAGCCACTGCCGTATTTTGGCACCAAAGTTGTTGAACAGCTTACACAGGAAATATAATTATCAGTGCACCGGATAATTAATAAACTTGGGAATAAATTAAAGACATTATTTTCAGATAGCTGATTAATAACTCAAATGACGTGGGGAAATGTTTGCTTTAAATTCTCTTCTGTCTGTAGTGTATATAAAATGTCAATACCGTATTGTTGTTGAACATTGTATTTGGTCTGCAATCACTTCCTTGCTCAGTATTTATATCGAACACCGATTTGCTCTGGCGCCTATCAATATGAAATGACACTGGTCAACACACTTTTTCTGGCAGAAGGTATTCCAACAGTTATAAGGTAATTTTGGGGTGCTGATTCGAAATATGGCATCAGTTTTTGTCTATCACATCAGGTTTTTGAGATATCAAATATTGCATTTTCAATAAAAACTGCAGAAAAAAAATATTAAATAAATTTGGATATCTACATAAAATGATATTATAAACACATTATCCTAAAAATACAGCACCATATTTTAACACTAAAGCAGTCACTGACTCGCAACAACTTGCAATCATAAGTGACAGAGTTAATTTTGGGTAAAATCAATAAAAATGGGGTATGCCGATAGCATAAAATAAGATGCGATAGAGCAAATCTGAGATCAGATTTGTAATCAGCACCCTGGAATTAGCCTAAAACAGCTGCAAAAGTCCAGGCCAGAAAAAAATGTGTTTTTTTTGTTGACCAGTGTTATGATTGATTTGAACGAAGCAAAGCAATGCCCATGCACACCTTTCTGAGCAACCAACCAGCTGTCGGTTGGTAACAGCAGCAGCGTGGGGTGTGCACAATGATTACGAAATCTCCCGATTTGAAGCTTTCGTGACTGCAAGGATTCATACTCTTAGTTCTTTCGGTAAAGTCACGTAGGTAAAAAATGAAATTAAAATTAATAAAAATAAAATAAAAATAAAATAATAACATCCCCCCCCCTCTCCTCCCCCTTAACTGGTATTTAAGAGCTTGCATCTTGAATCCCTGCCTCACTTGATGCAGCAAATCTGGCTGTGACGGTCCCACCTGATGACGGAGACTTGTGTTGCCTCCGAAACGTCGTGATTTTTATTTTATTTTTTATTAATTTTAATTTCATTTTTTACCTACGTGACTTTACCGAAAGAACTAAGAGTACGAAATCTCCCGTATGTTTTTTTTCATTTACCCATTTGCTACTTTGTCATTCTTCATTTGATTATTGTCATCAGTGTCAAACGAGTTTGAGTGGTATTATATAATGGGAGAGGGGGGGCACACACAATTGTAATGCCATTCCTGGCTCTAAATAAAATATTTCCAACGTATTTGTCTTGGTGTGGCTGATGTGTTCAATGCCATGCCAATGCGTGCCGAATATTACCCTCAAGTGTTGAATTACCAGCTCATTGTACTTGCACCGTAATTATAATTCACGTTCACCCATTTTCATCGAAAGATGATAACAATAGCAACGTCGCGGGAATGATTACAGTCAGGTAATTAAATTATTCGTTTAATTACGCGTTAATGGTTTTGCATGACGAAACTGCATGCTGCAAGGGAACGATCACAAAGTGACTTGGTCATGTTGGCATCGCCATTATCAGAGATAAGCGATTGCGAAAAACCCGCGATCGTTGCACACCATCGCTCTTGTCCAAAGGCTGTAATTTGGGCAACAATAGTTGTCTAGACCAATTGAGGATAGACTCCTCATCCCTTTCTTGTTGCAGCTTAAGAAATACACCCACCCACCCACCCACAACAACTGGAATAGCGCAGACTGCAAGAACGCGTGCACGCTATTCCACTGCAAATGCGACTTTCTGCAGAATATTCATGCCATCGTGCAACAATGAGGGCTAAAGAATGCAAGTGGGATTGTAATCTGTGATCACCGCAGAATAAATGAGCAGAGAATGTCTCTGCTCGCATATCCGTCTCCATGTAAAATTAATATTTCTCACGTAACCCGTCAGCCGCACGTTGTTTCAAGACAAGTAAACAACTCTGGAACGATAATTGGTTCTTTACCCTTCTATCTGGCAACAAAACTGACACCTTTTTTACAAGGAGTCATGTTTGCATAGACCACAATACCTGCAGCCATAATGCAAAAAAACCTAACTCTGATAATATATGCACTGTCTTTGAAGTTGATTGGTCCACACCCGAGACAGCTTTCCTTAGAGCCTAGTCTCACATGGGTTGGACCAGATGACGCCAAAAGGCGCACAACTCAAAGACAATGCACCATCAGAGTATGAGAGCTCGGGGTAAGCATTTACACCATTGGAACCTCAACTCTGGAACGGTTTCGACACGCAACGTCTCATCAGCAGAGGCAGGCTTGCTTTGAATCAATGCTGGTGAATTGCCGATCTCTTTACGCGATAGCGTTACGGGTTATCTCCATTGCTCGTTAAAGTGTACCCTCCTTTTCTGGAAGATCGCATTTGCTGCTGTTGTCAAATTTTTTTCTCTCTTTTCGGACAGTGCCTCCCCCCACCCCTCCCATCTTAAACAAATTACCGCTGTGTTTCTTTGTGCTGATTTTCTAATAAAGCCTTCATCAAACGTAGCCTCAATTATCTTACGTGCACGAGTGTCACGTGCGCATTTGACATGGGATTTATTTATTTATTAAGATTGACTCATCTTCATTGGCAATCTATGTGACGCAGTGCCCCTATTTGGATATACGTGCCATCTCTGTTTTACCTGCCTCACAATTAACCATTTTAGGCAAAGAGCAAGGCAGTGGGGATTCCGTGCAGCATTGTCACTCGCGGAGAACGCTGGCAATGGTCGCCTGAATACTGTACGGAAAATGATTGATTTGAGGGCCTGCACAGTGGTCGTTTTGGAATCCTTGGAGAGAAAAAAATGAAATGTGCACCGTATAGCCTTGATGATGAATAGCAATATCCCAATGCGTCTGAAGGGAAAAAATATTGTAAAAGGTGTACGGTATATTACTTGCTATAACGTGGCCCAGGAACATGAATATTGACAAAGGACATGGAACAAACGCTGAAAAGTGTAGCGCAGAGATATGGAGAGATGCATTCTGGGAATTAGACTGAGAGGCAGATTGAGGAACACGTGGATAAGAGCAACAACCGCAAATGACGGACATCGTTGTGGATTGTTCAAGAAAGTTAGTGGGCCTGGTCTGAACATATCTCTCGACTGAATGATGGCCAATGGATGAGACTGGTGACAGAATGGCAGTCATATCAGGGAACACACCAAAGAGGACAAGCAGCAGGGAGAAGAGGAGATAAGCGGATGTGCAAGATGGATTGTGGTATCATGGGACCGTGTGAGATGGCAAAGGCATCCAGCAGTGGGTGTAGAGCATGTCTGATGATTATGATAGTCTTTAAAACAGTTCCTGCAGATTAACATCCACACGAGGGAGGAGGAGGGGGGGGGGATTGGGGGCACATATGTAGCTAATAAGATAACATTTTTATTAAGGCAAAATAAATATGGTGATTTATTTACAAAATAAATAAAACGTCACACTGTGATGCTGAGAGGATATATCTGCAATGTTAGAATTTTCGTCGGATAGGCTGGAATGACAGGCGGAAGGATGGTTCATTTATGTACTCTGTCACACATTCCCTCTTCATGAAGAGTTTCTGTCATGTGCTTTCAAAGAGTGTTTTACCATTGAATCAAAACTGGTCTTGCCAGGTTGTGAGATCTGCCTGATAAATAGAGTATGCAGTGCAATGTGCACGTGGAGTTTGTACGTCAAATATAACTTGAGGATTTCGGGTGCTCTGGATAAATCAGAATGTGGTCGCTCAAAAAATATTTATCACATTTATTGACGTAAGCACGCCACAAAATATCATAATCCGTGAACTTTGCATGCTTAATCCCTCTGAAGCCTTCACCCGCGGAGTCTAATTAGTAGGTTATGATAAGGAAGCTTTATCGTCTTGCCATCTGTGGAAATGTTTTTGTATTGATCCGCTGAAATGCCACTGCTCCACACGACGGCTCATTAGCCTACTGCTTCCTCCCAGGATGAATTATTTATCTGCGTCAGTCCTGGCAGAGCCTTAATGCACAGGGGGGGGGGGGGGGGGGCTCCCCATGAGAGCCATCCCCACCACCGCTGTGCAGGGAGCAGCCACGCCAAAGTCAGATCAACGGTGGCTGGCGTGGGACGCACTCCGTTTCAATCGTGTTTGTTGTTGTGACTTTCTCTGACCCCCGTCCCCAACTGGACATGTGTGCAAAAGAGCTTCGTAACTAATCGGATTTATCCAGGATAAATACAGATTCTGACTTTGATCCTCTCTTGACTCTATTTTTATTTTTTTTAAAGGGTACAAACCGGGTCACATTTTCTGGCCCTGTTTGCTTTTCTCATCGGGGATTGTAAATTGCCAGTTCATCGTCGTGTCTTGGGGACATTAGAGGTGAATATATAAATGACCTCTCGTAAGAGTAGCTAAAAAAAAATATCCTCCATATAGAGGGGCTCTCTATATCTGCCTCAAGTGGGGCGGGGGGGGCCTCCGCCAGCTGTGGTAGTGAGCAAGACATTGCAGGGTCCGTAAATTTTATATAAACGAAAATACTGAAATAGCATTTCATATGGATGCTAGCCATATGCATGCGGTGTTAATAACCGGTGCAGCAGGGTCCTGCCTGTGTAAGTGGCAGGAAAGCCATGGGCCCAGCTGGGTGGGCGTTATCGGCCTCCCAAAGCTGTCATCGCAAGCAGGAAATGGCGAGCGGTCAATACCAATATATGCCGGCATAATTCTCGTCGTGCCTCTGCGCGGGAACACCCGCGCGCGGTTCGTGTTCTCTCTCCCAGCTGCGTGTTGGTGTTGGTGGTGGTGAGAGAAATGGGCTCTTACCGGATGCTCTCCTTGTGAATCTGCTGATCACCGGAGCTGAAAAGGGAAACGATTTGAAACAACGTTAATCGCGATAAGGCGCTGACAAATGGAAAATATTCATATATCCGCACGCCACGGGCAGCCCTGGGATATTCATTGGAATTCATTATGAAAACAAATGTGAATTCTAAATCCCCGTTAAATTATGCCCGCTTCAATTCGGATCGCCTTCCGCGGCTTTATTCGCGTAACCACTCGCAGAAAGGGAAGTCGTTGCGTTAACTACGCGGCCCCGACGCGCCGTGACGCCTTTTACATTAAATCTTCCCCCCCGCGTAACCGGCTGTGGAATGCGCGCATTCTTATTTTTTTTTTCCGCGAGCTCTCCCCAAGGCGGACGAACGTGCAGGGTTATCGCGAGTTCACACGGGCCGTGCGGTGGCATGAGCTTGCACGGGAGTGATGGTTTTGAAGAGAGAGTGGGTGGGGAGGCGCCCCCCCCTACTCCCAACGCACGCACCAGCAGGCAGAGATAAGGACCCCAATCAGCGCAGAAAAGGGCTCAGCTGTCACATCGCAGTTGTGTGGCGCATCTGGTTTTGCCTTTGCAAAGGGCCGATGTGGCACTCTGCGTTGAGCAGAGGGCGGCAGCGCTGGTCGCTAACCGCTGTGCGTTGAGGTCAGAGGTCGCAACCGGGTACCCGATACCCGTACCCTACCCGATACCCGGCTACCTGTACCCGGCCAGGTACGGGTACGGGTACCCGTTTGCGACTGGCGCGGCCAGGTACGGGTACGGGTAGACTGTGAGTCACTGGTGAGTAACCGTTTGTCACTCATTTCGGGTAGGGTACGACCCTGGTGCGGCCGGGTACGGGTAAGGAATCAAAACCCGTTTGCGACCTCTGGTTGAGGTGCCGCTGTTGCGCGTAGCGTGTGAGGAGGCGTCATTGCTCACGCTCTGTGAGTCGTTCCAGCTTGTACGCTGCCGTGAAGGGGGGGGGGGGGGTTACGGGTAACATTGCCAAGGAGGCTCCGTGTTCTTGGCTGTGTTTAGCCTTCAGGTGCCACGCCCCTCCCCAAATTAAAACGGGGAATGTACAGCATTGCAGCTTTGTGATGTGACGCTCTGCTGGCACGACTGCATTGTGTGTTGCCATTGTTTTCATATTTTTCAGACCGACTCTATCCTGAATAGGCTATCGGTATGACGTCATGAGACAGATAATCCGGTAGAATCGCTCGTAGAGCAATGCAATAATTTGTGTTAGAGGAGCGGTGCACAGAAGTGGATGTCACAGAGCTACTTCTGAGAACCATTCACGTGACCTCTGTTCCACATAGTAGGGAGCGGCACATTCCCATTCGCTCTGCCACAGGGAGTAGCATTCGTCACGTGACAGTCGAACCGATATTTTTTTTTATTGTGGGAGCTGAAATTTAACCACATTAATCTGTGAACCAAGTTTAATATGACCATTTTCAATGTGGTTTCGGCGGTGACAGACCATCAAATGTGTTGAAAATGTTTGATATGCAGTAACAGTACATCACAGAGAGCGCGATGCGTGGAAGGGTTAAAAGCTGATTTGTATTCCCGTTGCTGAGTGGTGGATGTGTAGGCGAGGCTCAGGTCAGGTTTGTCTGGAATATGACACTTACTTGTAGTCAGCGATGCTGCAATGTACATCAACCATTTGAACTTGGGTCAAGGTGTCAGATTTGTCATTGCAGCACATTTGTGCTTTTAACAGTTCTTCACTCTATTATCCACAACAGTGCGTCGTTGCGTCCCGAGCAATGGCGTAACAATTACACAACATCATTTGTTCAGATATCACTTGCCACTGATGTTACCCGTCTGGGAGTGGAACTTGGATCATCAGCTTCAAAGCACGGTGCGTGAACATTCGCAACACGCGTTTCAATGTATCATCGATAAATATCGCACCTCCGATTAGCACGGTTCACTGCGTAAGGTGTGAAAGAAGTTCACAATACAGTACATACATTGCAAATGGAACTGCTAAACTGGCTGGTGATTTCATTTTGTAATGGGACTTCAAATAAAAAGAATGATGAAGATACGTGTCATTTACAAACAAACTGGGAGCATCATTGTCCATCTCCCTTCCCTCCCCCATCCTATGACCACTCAAAAATGAATTAAAAATGTGTAACATATCAAGGCCACTCGGACCCATCTACGCAGTGCCCCGTTTTGTCTGCAAGTTTCTAGTTCCTCACAGAGTCACATTCAACGTGGCTATGAATATTAAGCACTTTTTATAACTGGTTAGTTTCAATTTTCACGAATGCCCAATATATCTTATGTAAGCAGTAAACGATATACACGTCGCTAAGTGTGCAGCACGTTTAAGTCAAGAGCTCAACAGTGGGAATCTTTATTCGGAGGGAAGGGGGAAAACATTTACAGTGTGAAAATATTTATTTACAAGCGAACCACTGACGAACATGAAGCAATCGTCAATGGCACTGCTTTTTCTTTTTTTGGGTTAAACGAAAACCTTGTTGCGAATGCACGATTTATTCAACACCAAGTCACAAACAAATTGAAAACAGAGGCCTGCTGTAATCAGCGCCGTAAAGAGCGGCCCCGTTACTCAACTTAAACTTTGGCAGATCTGTCCACGCGACAATTTTTGTCGATTTGTAATATTCGCGTAAACGCTTGTGTGTTTAAAAAAATATATAGTTGTTCCAATGCTACACGTTCTACCGTAAGCGGTCTTTTAAAACGATACGCATTTTCTGCAGTGACTCAGTTGAAATACCGCGTCGCACGTTTATCATAATAATATAATAATGATGTTTAGTTTTCTTTTTTATTCACAGTGTCGTTCGCTCAAGGAAATGTCATCTCACAATCGTTGAGGAGCCACAAAGCTGCAATGCAGCAGCCAGTCTGTAAGCCGGCACCAACATTTGCCTAAGCTCTGCAGTCCTTCATATATAAATATGTTGTCAGCAAGAAAAAAAGTGTGTGTTTATACAAGACACGGGCTGGGGTAATAGGAGCACCTCGAGAAAACCCATAGCTGCGAGCGGGCAACACTCTATCCCATACAGACGCGCACAGATCATAGTCCGCACTTTTGCTGTTCGGCCTTCTGACAAACCAGGGCATGGCGTATCGACACCCCACGGGAAAGGAGTTTCACAACATTTGTGTGACCAACCAACCAACCCTCGCCTCCACATTGCTGGGTTACAGGTCACGTGCGTAGCCATGCCGGTCGGCCGGCACCGGTGCTGTTTAATGCACAGGACTTCGTTGCTATGGAACAGAAACACTATGAATCATTTCCCCCTTCAGATTTGTTTTTTTCATTATCGGTTTCTACTTTGTGTGCGTGGAAAGAAAAGTCATCCCCACTGGATTTCTGAGTGGACGAGATTTACTGATTGTAATCTTGCAGGACAGGTACAAATTACAACAGTATTTAAAAAAGCATTTAATTCACATCGTGGATTGTTAAAACTTACGTACATTGTCATTGATTGAACAATAAAAATGTGCACAGCTTTTTGATGATCTACTGCTGGATGTAGGCCTTCCCGACGGCTTTTGGACATTGAGGTTATTTAACTATAATTCTAGATTTGAAGTTTTCGTGACTGCAAGGGTCCATACTCTTTGGTTTTTTCGGTAAAGTCACGTAGGTAAAAAAAGAAAATAAATTAAATCACGACGTTTCGGAGGCAACACAAGCCTCCGTCTTCAGGTGGAACCGTCACAGCAAAATTGAAGACGGAAGCTGGTGTTGCCTCCGAAACGTCGTGATTTAATTTATTTTCTCTTTTTTACCTACGTGACTTTACCGATAAAAACCAAAGAGTATTATTTAACTATACTTCACCGTGCTGGTATTAATCGCCACCGTTGCAAGCCGCGGATAGGGAATCATAGCCTCTTGAGCTGTGCACTTTGACATCTAAAGTGAAAACTCACGTCTTCAGAACTGCGTTTTCTATTCAGTTTGATGTCCTTCCTTCATTAGCACGGTTGGTGCGAAAAAGTGCATACGTACAATCTCACACCACTACGTCTTCACTGCAGCCCAGGTCGCATGATGGATGACGTGAACATTTACAAAACGTCACCGTCAAAATGTATCTTGCGCTCACGCGGGTCCTGGGTCGGTGCTCACCTATGTTTATAAACCCGGAGCTAACGGTAGAAATTCCACATTTCCATGGCAGTGGCTCGCCTAACCAGAGGATGACTTACTGTTAATAGTATAACGGCATTGTAAAGGTACTGCGACGTTATTTCTACATCACACGAAGCTTCTGAAGAGCATAAGGAGCTTGTAAATGCACTACTCAGTGTGGCAAAATCCATTGCTGCCCTGTGCGATATTTCAACTTCTTTGCATCCCGCCTTCATCAACCCCCGCACAGAGCAGCACGGCGAAGGATGACCACGTGACCTCCATGCACGTCATGGACACCCAGCAAGCGACGAACGTTGGGCCACCTTTAGTCCGACGGTTCCCACCACATGCCAACGTTGGCTCAATGTTGGCTCAACGTTGCACGTTTACGGAGGGAGGCCCACATTTCAGCAGTGAGTTCACACCCAGGGCCACGCGTGTACTGTACATGCACGGATGACCCAAGATTTTTTGTTTACGAACGCAGACGACGCCTTTTAAAACCGAGTTACGGTAAAAAAAAAACGTTTTTGCCACGGCTCTGGCCGCGTTGGTGTGACGCCGCATGTCAACGCGGGCGGTGTTTTGGTTTGACGGCCCCGGTGACGGTGAGTGACATCGGGTGCGAGCAGCGATCGCTTGTCGAATTAAAAATGTTTCCATGATATCATGTTTTGCTTTAGCCTGGAGCAAAGGCTGAGAGGCGGCCGAGGGAACTGATATTTTCGAGACGATGAAACGTCCGCTTGTCCTTTTAAATATTTGTTTGCCATCAATATTTAAAGCGGCAACTCAGCCCGATACAGAATAAACACTGCACGCCCGTCTTTATACAAAAATTATATGCTGCCGGCGGCCTCGCTGTACTTTCTCAAA